CGAGCGGATTAATAATATTCATAATTATAATATTTGTCATTATCATTGTAATTTGGAAAGTAAAAAATAGAAAAGACACTAGAAGAAGACCAAGAGTGACGATACTCGACGATGACTGGGATGTACCTAGATTTATATTAAAAAGAAGTAATAGTACGCGTTTTTAGGAAATAGGAAACGATTATAATTATATTGTGAACGGGATAAACATTTGTAAGCTTTAGTTGTAAGCGAAAAACTTCATACCTTCGTTTTTCTTCTTTAACGGGGGAGGGATGTTATATCCCCCAAAGATATAGATATAACTATTAAAAGGTAACTAATATTAAGAAATGAGTACTCGTATTACATCCGCAATTACGACAGACACTGACCGCGTTAAAAAACGCATACGATGCGAGGTATACGCGGAATCAGAATTACGACAGATAATGACCGCGTTAAAAAACGCATACGATGCGAGGTATACGCGAAATCAGAATTACGACAGATAATGACCGCGTTAAAAACGCATACAATGCGAGATATACGCGGAACAGAAATTGGTCAACGTGCAAGCAAAGCAGAAGGACTTTGAATCTGCTTCGCTTGCACCTAGATTCTCGACCGGGGAAACCTGTTGCCAGGCACCCCTTCCGATCGGGAAAACTCCAAAAAACAACGATATAAAAAGAAAGTAGAGACGCGACAACTCGCTGAGTCGCAGACACAAACAATCGCTCTAACCACGATCTCGCTAACCGCGCGCGCACTTAGCATCGACTCGCAGTTGTGCGCGATACGCGGAGTGACAGAAAGTCAGTGCCGCACACCCGGTAAAGCTTCAGTGTATTATTAGTGAAATAAATAAAGGCCAAGTGATTGAAGTTGAATAAAGAATTTTAATAAGAAAAGTGCAGTGCATTTTCTACAAACACCCGACAAGTCCTGACGCCCCGGATTCCCATCCCAATTTGGCGCGACCCCCTGGTGTCTCTCCCGAGGCACACAACAATTTCTTGGCTTATTAAAAAAATGGTTCTATAAACATGCTTTAAATTTAAGAGGAATAAATTAGTAGTCTAAAAATTACAATTTTATAAGATATATACATGCATAAAATTACTATGCTCGTATAAATATAAATTATAAAAAGGGATCATAAATAAAACCAAGGCCAACTAAAACGAGCAATAACAATTACAGTGTCAAATTGTTAAAATATTAAAACGTTTATTCAAACTAAAAACTTAAATCAAATTAATATTAATCGTAATATACATAAACGTTTCGATTGCACAGCAGTCTTCCTCAATATGATAAATTGTTGTTAGATAACAAAATAAAATTTTTTACATTCAGTCTCGAATTCGATTAAAACATGTTCTATTTCCTGTCAATGACTAAAACCGATTAACGCAGATTACTGACGAGATGGACTAGTAAATCATTTGAATTCTCGCTTACAATATTAACATTTCTATTGAAATTTTATAATAGTCAGTTTATATTTTACAATAATATTAGAAAGCAGGCGCGGTCATAGATTATTATTACGTTTTCCATTATTTTCTTTTGAATTTTTTTATTTGATCAGAAGTCAATAAAAGTTATCTGTTATTAAATAATTAGCTATAAGTAACTATCATAAAATATATCATGAAAACAAAAACTCACGTATTTATTTTAGCTTTCGGAATATAATTTGTCTTGTAGCGAAACACTATTATTCTTTTTATACACACTAAATAACACAAGCGCGCGCTTTGCGCGCGCTAAACGAATTTTTCAATTATAACGCATAATAGAAATTCAAAAATACTTATGTACTGTACATAGTAAAAATTCGGCGAATAAAAATTTAAAACATAATGGAAATTCAAGAATTAGAATTAGGTACACAATGAAAATTTAAGAATAAAATTATGTACATACAGTAATTCAGCGGATTAAAATTATTTAAATAAAAGAAATACGACAAATTAATATTATATACATAATAAAAATTGGGCAAATTAAAATTATTTAGATAAAATAAATAAAGTGAATTAAAATTATGTACATAATAGAAATTTGGAAATTAAAATTATGTACGTAAAAAAAATTGGAAATAAAAATTATGTACATAATAGAAATTCGATAAATTAAAATTAGGAAAATTTAAAAAAAGGTAAATATTGTAGGCCAACTAAACGAGCAATTAAATAAGATCTAAAGATTTATTAATAATTAAATAATTAAGGGGATAAGGGAATAATTAAGAGTACATTTGTTATTTAGACTTCGCAACACACACTTGAAATGTCGAGAAGAAGAACTTGTTAAAACGATAATCATGATTAAATGTCGCAAAACTTGGAATCTCAGATCAATCGTCTTACTTATCTATTGGTCATCAGCGAAGAATCGTTTAACTTTGTATTTTAATGTTTAACCAACTTTGTATTTTAATATTTAACTTTGTATTTTAATATTTGATTTTTATGTATTGAAAAAGACTGTAGTGCAGTCGAAACGTTTACGTTGTATATTGTTTCTCTAACGGAATGAGAATTTAATTATTTAATTATTTAATTATTAATAAATCTTTAGATCTTATTTAATTGCTCGTTTAGTTGGCCTACAATATTTACCTTTTTTTAAATTTTGTTAATTTATACGAGCTTTTCATTAATTAATTTTAAAATTATGAACATTACGAAAATTCAGCGAATTAAAATTATGTACACAGTGAAAATATAGGATTAAAATTATGTACATAATAAAATTTCGGCAAATTAAAATAAAAATAACGCTTCCCTGTCGCGATAGCCCACAACGGTGCAAAAAATAATCATATATATTATTATATTATTTATTGCCTATATAAGCAATAAATAATATATTATTATATATATATATATATATATATATATATATATATAGTAGGAATACTAAGAGAGTTCTAGCTCGGGTCCTCTGAGGGGGGTGCGGGGCGGGGGGGTTTTCAGGAGCGAGGGGTATGACGTCACGCGGGCGGGGGGTCTTATCAACAGATAAGAGGCGATTATCGGATCATGTTACCTGATATGTTTATAAACAAAAGATATATATATATATCTATTACAAGATAAGATAAGCGGCATCTTTGTAAGATATTTATTACATAAACAAGATAAGATAAACAAATATCTAATACAACGATATCTATTACAATCATATATAAATTATCTGTGGCGAACGCGTCGAGACATTTTCGCGGGGAATTGCATACCCCCCCCTCCATAAGCGGCGATTTTTTATTGTTTATCTTAGGAAAAAATACCAGCGCCGATAATCAGTGGATGCAGGAATTTATAAACAAAACAAGCGCCGAAAATCTGCGGCTGCTTTATAATCTACGTTATCTAAATTTTTCCTAGAAAAAATTCCTCTGAATTATCCACAGGGAGAAATCAATCGGGGAAGTTAAACAAAAGCTGCGAAATCTTATACCGTTCCTTTGGCGAGCGCCGAAAATCAGCGGCCGTTTTATAATCAGATATCAATTACTACGTTATCTAAATTTTTTCTAGAAAAAATTCCTACGAATTATCACCGGGGAGATACGCATACCGGGGAAGTTAAACAATTGTTCGTACGTTGACGAACAAAGGGTTGAACGGGATATATAATGAGGATCCTGATGCTGCCGGGTCAAATCAAAGTACGGTGACCACGAGAACGCATGCTTTCCTCAAGGAAAAATAGCTGTGAGAAAAAAGTTTAGTGTGTAATCAAAGTAGTTATATCTGTTGCAACGTGTTTTCCTGCTCCGAAACGCCAAGTTCGGACAGGAGAGCGTTCAATTTAAATATTCTAATAGTTTAAATAATAAAACGTTAAAAATCGGTAACAAAAGAGTTAATTACTCGTACTTCAGTACTTTCGGTAACTCACGATAAAGTTGGGCACCAGGCGCATGTAAATGCGCCACGGTATCAATGAAAACGGTACTTAAGGTAACTCTTCAAAATTCGGCAGTGAGTCGCGGGTCTATAGGATGTTTAGTCTATGGTTGAGAGAGAGGTATATAGAGAGACATACACATGTTGACATGAATAGACATATATATATTTCAAACAAACACTTAGGACTAACAATTTTACATGTAATAAGTATAAATGGATAATATAATTATATAACAAACATTAATATTGAGGCTAGCGGCATGGAAGAATATAATATAATGATATATGCGAATATGTCGGTATGACGGAATCGATCTATTAAATTTTCATTAATTATAACAATGTTAAATACTTTTAACAATTTCGCGACAATATTATAAGAACGGAATGCACAAAGAAAAAAAATCGGTAAACGGTTCGCTGTTTAAACTTATTATCACGGACACGCGGTATATACAGAGGTCACATAAACATAATTCAAGATACGGCGCGGTATACAAAAAAAAGGTAACAATGAGATAACGGTAATTTCGTGACTCTCTCGCACGACTATCTCGAAAATTGAAATATTTAACACACTTGCGGAAAACGGCTGCACGCAAATTCCGCAAATCTAATGATCGAATATGTAAGAAACGTTACTCTGAATATATCGGCAAACAAGAATTTACGATTCTCGCTCTCGGAATAGAATAGAATAGAATAGAATAAAGCTTTATTTGTAGGCGCCCTGGGATGAATCCCCTCAGGCGCAAAAACCAGTACATACAAAAGTAAGAACATCTAAATTCAATAAAAACAAAGTACAAGTAGTATGACTTGATACTCAACATGAAGCTGAATGCTAGATAAATGAGAATTACATGACTAATAATATCGTGGATTACAAAAGAGAAAAGAAATAAATATATGCAAAAGTAGATCAAAATAGATTACATAAAAGTAAGGTCAATAAGACTAATATACATTAAGGTCCGAGACAATAGAAGAGATTGCAGTAGTTAGATGAAATCGAATAAAGAATAAAAAATAAAGAACAGGCATAAAGAACAGGCATGTCAGATAGAAATCGCCCTCAGAAATAAGGCACAACTATGTATCACTGGCACCAGCACTTTGTCTGGCGAGTAAATGCGCATACAACTTCTGCTTAAAATCCGAAAATGAAGTACTGTGCCTAATATCATTAGGGAGATTATTCCAGAATGTGATAGATGTCAGCCGAAAGGACCTTTTATATGTCTCTGTCCTACAGTGTGGCTGTATAAAAACCTCTCTAGTGGCTCTGGTCGTTCGTTCCGATGTATGTGTATTCTGCCTGTAATTAGAATGTAGTAATGTAGGTTGTTTTGTCCTAAGAACGTTGTAAGTCAAGCAGCCAACGAAATAAAGCCTTCGTGAGTCAATTTTTAACCAGGAGAGCCTCTCATAAAAAGGTGAAATGTGCACATCAAATCTCGTGTTGAAAATGAACCTGACACAAGCATTAACTCCTCTGTACAGTTTTAAACTTTGTTCATCAGTAATATCAGTCATTGCAGCACAACAATAATCAATATGTGGAAATATTAATGCCGTGACAAGCCTTATTTTTAAGATATCCGGGAACATATGTTTACAGAGTTTCAACTGGTAAAGTGTAGTCCGAATCCTTTTTGTAGTGTTGATAATCTGCTTTTCCCAGGATAAGTTATTTGCAATGACAAGTCCAAGATATTTCACAGATGACAAGTATTGGACCGCATGTCCATCCACCCTTATTTCCGGGAGAGCAGAATTATATAACGCGTTTATATATCTCGATGTGCCCATAATAATGGCTTGAGTTTTGTCGGCGTTCAAAATAAGGCCGTTGGTAGTTGACCAAAGGAGAACAGCATCGATGTCATCATTGATGCTCTTAACAGCATAGATAATATTCTTCGGTTCACAATGTAGATAGATTTGAAGGTCATCAGCATAGAAATTGTACCTGCAATGTCTGAGTACCTTGCCAAAATCCGCAAGATAGAGAGTGAAGAGCAAAGGTCCCAGCACAGAGCCCTGTGGAACCCCGACCTTCACAGAGGATGATGATGAGACAGTGCCCACCACTGCGTCCTTGACAACCTGTGTCCGATCACTGAGGTACGAGTAGATCCATGTCAATGTTGAGTCAGAGAAATTTAGTTCTTTTAGTTTCTTGATCAGTAGTCTATGATTCACTCTATCGAACGCCTTTGAGAAGTCAAAGAAAACAGAGATTGTTACCATTCTAAGATCCACTGCCTGTCTGACATCATCCATCATCCTAATCAGACATGTTTGAGTGGAATAGTTCTTTCTGTAGGCGAATTGACATTGATCGCGAAGGTCCTCCCTTTCCAAATATCGATTTATCTGCTCGCACGCAACTCGTTCCAGTATTTTTGAGAGCGCAGGAAGAATGGATATCGGTCTGTAATGCTTTACAGATGTAGGATTCTTGATCTTCGGAATTGGGCAAACTAGAGCAGACTTCCACTGCGAAGGAAACTCACCACTCATCAGTGAAAAATTAAAAAGATGTTCCAAGATAGGTAGAATGCCATCGATGACCAACTTTAGCATTTTGATCGAGATGCCATCAGACCCTATAGCATTAGATTTGGCTCGTAGAATTGTTCGCCTGATCATGATGGGCATGACGTGCTCCCAGTGGAAGTCCGCATCTTCAAACTCGCCAGAGCAGATGTCGTCGATATTATTTTCCTCAAAGCTGATTTCAGATAGCCCCGCTTCCCGCACAAAAAAGCTATTGAGATCCTCAACACTGCACGACAGACAACTGCCTGAACCCTTTGGTTTTATAAGTCCAAGGTGTCTTAGTCCACCCCAGACTTCGCCAGCTCCATTTGCACGACTGAAGACCTTATAATAGTAGTCCCTTTTAGCAGTGCGGACCATGTTTTGCACCTGATTACGCAGTACCTTAAAACGTGAGTAATAAACGTCACCCTTGCGTCTTCTCCAAATGCGCCTAGCCATATCCCTACTTTTCATGGCAGCGCGGATTTCAGTCGTGAGCCAAGGAGCCGGTAAATTTTTATAGCGAAATTGCTTCCACGGTGCATGAGCATCGTAGATATCTAGTAATTTGGCATTGAAAATGCCTATCTTTTCGTCCATATTGGCTGATAATAATAAGTCCGTCCAATCAATGCTATTGACCTCTGATACAAAGGCTTCCTCATTGAATCCGCTTCTATCTCTGCCCAGTACAACTCTCTCAGTCCTTCTTCTCAGTTTAACCGCATATTTGATGTAGATCAGATCATGAGCCGAAAGAAAAGCCACCCCCCGCTGTCCATAGTCAATGAGTTTCTCTCCATCGTCAATAATGCACAGATCCAATAGTGTGCTGGAGTTCCTAGTGTGATGAGTAGCTGAAAAAGGAACAAGATGCAAGCCCGAGCCTGTGACAAACGCTGATATTTGCTGACTATCATAAGCCACCTGATTCATATCGGCATTAAAATCTCCAACGATGACCGAATGTCTATAATCAACTTGCAAATCAAGGAACACACGGAAGAACTCATCCATGAAACCAATGTTGGGTGGACGATAAACGACAGCCAACAGCAATTTGGACATATCCTTAAACATAATTTCAGCGATAATGTATTCAGGCCTTCCCATTATTGATCCAGCAGAACTGACAAGAACAGAGGCCCTGAGTGAGTCCAACAAATAGAATCCTACTCCTCCTCCCGCTCTTCCGATCCTATCACACCTGTAAAGCGAGTATCCTGGCAACCCAACCATCACATCTGAAATCTCAGGTCGTAGCCACGTCTCCGACATACAGATAATATGAAAAACTTCTTGTGCGAAGTAATGTCGGAACTCATCAAAGTGAGCCATTAGTGACTGGCAGTTGACATGGCAAATGCAAAGGTCATCAAAATCAAAAACTGGCATTGCCTTACTCATAGTTAATATTCGCTACTTTTTCCTCGATTTTTCTGCCCAGTACCGGACAGCTCTTCCCGTCCACAGCCATATGAGTATGGTCTCCCTGAGGTCTGTGTTTTCCACAGTTAAAACACCTAGGATCCCGTTTTCTTTCCTTACAATCCTTCATCTCGTGTTCCCCCGCACAATGTCCACAATGCGGTTCAAGTCTGCAGTTTTTTGCTATATGCCCGAATGACAGACACCTGAAGCACTGAACCACCCTGACATGGTCAGCCAGAGGGCAAGCATTATAACGCAAATAAATACTACCCAGGTTAAGAAGCGTTTTGCGAATTGCCGGAGTGACCTCCAGAACGCAGCTTTTAATATGTCTTCCCGATTTAGATTTAAACATGTAAATGACCTTTACGTCTTCTACTGTAGAAACATTCAGATTCTGTGCAATAAGCTCGTCTCTAATTTCTACAGTCGACATTTCCTCAGGAACCCGTGAACGATGAGCCTTGGATTCATCTTAACGCCCTCTCTGATCTTGAGTCCAGCAGTCGCAAGTCCTGGGTGAGCCTTTATCCTGCCAATATCCGGTGACAGCGCCTCAATCCTGACCGCATTATTTTTAGCCAAAGTCATCCGTTTAATTTTGAGTCCGCATTCCGCCGGTTTAAGCACCTTACACAAGGTCTCCTTGGTCACCTGAGACGAGGCAAACTTGTCCTTCTTGTCCTCATCCGGTACAACAAAAAAACTAGTAGTGTTGTCCAGCTCAACTATTGGACCGTGTAATAACTTTATCTCCGGCTTGGTATTGCTCAGAACGGAAGCATAAGACCCCTTTCTGACAGTCGACGTCGACGTACCCGAATCACGCGTGCCCAAATGACAGACGTCCTCCTTAAAATTGTTAGAACTCTTTTTTTGCAAGGCATCTAATTCTTCTCCGAGAGCCTTCTTTATATCGTCAATCTTCAGACTCGGGCCCGCAGTATTCGCATCCAGCATATTAATTAAAATAGTGGAAACCTCAACGAACGCATCGCGACACGCTCGAAATGCCCCCTCAATCACCGCCCTGTTCGCAGCTGTCTCCTTGCTCACCAGAAGAGCCTTAGCAATAGCATCGCTATGCCTGTTTATTGTGGCTCCTAGTGCATTTACTCGCGAGACATTCATTACGCTAATACAAAATCTATCTGACATACCCGAAATCAAATTTTCCGCAGACGTTTGTTTGGCCAGTCCCCTTGTCTCTACGCCACTGTGCTCGCTCCCTCCAGCGTCGCCGCCTATGCCCTTGTCCATATCCCCGACTCAAGGAAGTAAACAAGCAACGCTTCTGTGACAGATGATCTAACGAATTTCCAGCTGATGAAACGAATATCCAGAAAATGAAAAAATCCTCCGAGAATCCAAAGCTAGGTCACTTAACAAATAGGTAAGTCAAGCATATAGGCCTTAGACAGACTGCAAAAGAAAAAAGAGCAGGCCCCAAAGGGCCAAAAAGCGGCAGAAAACAGACTATATTACGGAGCGATAATAAACACGTCTGTAGAGACTCACCTACACGCAGAGATAAGGAACGATTGACTGTCGGCGGCACTTTTTCGGAGAGGGCTCGGCTCGCGAAACTCGAAGTCGGCTGGCGCCGCGGTACGATACTCAGAGAAAGAGACCGCTCTCTCTAACACAAAACGATATGATAACGAAAGGACACTCAAGGGTACTCATGGTAATTACTCTACGTTCTCGCCATCTACGGCACCAACCAACAATTACGTACGGCTACCCGAGAGGCGGCTTACAGTATTTGGCGGTGAAGATTGGTCCTCTGGTCGCACAACTGGAGATCTGGAAGCACCCTCTCTGTCTTGTGGCACACCGAACAGTGAAGAGCCGGGCCTCGCGCGCTTTGGTACCTTAAGCGCCGCGCCGATCTCTCGCGCATTTCATCAATAATAGGGTCGATGGCGGGGGTTCTAGGGTCTCCCTGACTCTCTCCCTAGCTGGGGTAATTTCTCGCCGGTATTTCAAAAGCTGCACAAGAGGATTTTTTTCCAATTTTGCCCGTCTGACATTTCTCCTGGGGGAATAGGTGGTAGGCTGGCCGGGCCCTCCGTCGTCTCTCTCCAGGATCGACTCCGGGGTTGATACGGCTTGGAGTCCTCTCGGTATTCTAGAAGAAGCCACCTGCATTAAATTTTGCGCGAAAGATATTCACATAATTTTCAGCCACTTGATACTTAGCTGCGCGAGGTCCCGTGCTCTCTCTCTCTCGCTCCATCTCTCTCCCTCTGCTGCGGCATTCCGGCACATCCCGTCTCGCTTCCTCTTGCTTCACAAAATGGTCTTCGGCCGCTCTCTCGGACCGTCGCCGTCGCTCTCCCTATGAATCGCACGGCACGCGCATCGACAGGCCGATGCTGCGCGCAATTGCAATTCTCGCAAAAAATAAAAAAACAAAAGACGGATCGCACCTTTCCCGAAATGAGGGGCGCTCCAGATCCTCGCGTCCTACCCGATCGGGCTTTCCGCTCTTGTGACGGCGCTCCAAAAGCATCACGTCACACTGTGTAGTACAAGTAAATTTTTTACAAAAAATGGAGAACGCGGAAAATGTTGAGCGCGACCTGTTGGAGCGTTCCCGCCAAATTGCCACCTTAGGCGAATATTTCGGATAGCTGCAAGTGTGCGAAGAGTTTATCGAAGAGCTGGAAGAACGCAGCCATGTCAAGCGTCCGCGTCTCTCGATTGGACATAGACAATTTCTGGTGGCTAGAATAGCGCGACTCGAGGGTGTAAAGAATCGCTTGCAGAGACGGTATGTCGGTGGATCCGTGCCTGAATACAATGGCGGCGGCAATAACGCGCAAAGGTTTGTTTGGCGCAAAATTGATACGGCGTTCGATAGCCGATACTGACCGGTGCGGTAATTAATGCAGACTATATCGAACCGCGTCAATTTTTGGAGAATGCCAAAGACATTGTAGTCGAGAACGTCGAGAATGTGATGCAGAGACACAGTGTGAAAGTGAACACTGTTTTTAACGGTGAGTTTGTGTCTGGTGATAAACGCGCTAATAAAAGTATCAACACGAGAAACTTTGAACTCTTTCGCACGTCTGATGTACGCGAGTGGTACGAACGCCGCGTAATCGAGCCCACGCTAGCATCGCTAGAAGAGTTACAGGAACGCGATAGCGGCTGGGCATTCAAGTACAATTCAAGTACAATTTAATGCGCGCGGGATGCCATGTCAAATTACCGCGAAAAATTGTGACAAAAAGAGCGGTTGTTAATGTGCGATCAGTGGTGGCCGCTCTGTACCCCGCTGAAAGAAATGTGGAACAAGAATCCTCCTATCCGCATTACACCACAGTGCTGAATCTCCAAAACATTGAGTTTCCAGTGATTGTGAACCACATTAAAAACTTTGAACTGGCAAACGACATTTCCGTAAACGACAGCATCGAGAACGAAAACATCGTCCCGCTACGCCTTTCAAAGCAGAAAAGAGACAAGCATGTCAATTTGCTGTACGTGGAGGACGAATATAGCGTTGGACATTTCGCGTGCATAAAGAATTTGTCTCGCCTCGTGAGCTTGCAACTGAGCAAACACAATGGTCAAAAATATATATGCGATCGGTAAGTATATATTTAATACATGTAAATTATATTAATAATAATTTTAATTAAATCTTTTATTTTTACAGATGCCTACATTATTTCTATTCCAAGGACCAGTTACAGACGCATACGATAGACTGCGGAAAATTGAATGACTGCGCTATCCGGTTACCGAGCGACAAAGACAAGTGACTCGGCTTCGACAACTACACGAGAAAGGAGCGGCTTCCGTTTGTGGTGTACGCCGACTTGAAGTGTGTTTTGACAAAGACCAAAGATGCCAAAAATTATCAACATCAAGTATTTAGTCTAGCTTAAATTATGTAGTTCGTACGACAGTTCGTTATCTACTTATAATTCCCGTTGCAGTGTCGATTGCGTTGCGTGGTTCGCCGAACAGCTTAAAAATTTAGCAATACGCGTAAAAAATATTTTAACTACTAATGTCCCCATGGTAAATTTAACGCCTGACGAATGGGTAAAATTTCGCAGCGCGACGCATTGTCACATTTGTGAGAAACCGTTTGACGAAGACGACACACGCGTCCGCGATCATTGCCATCTCACCAGGCGGTACAGAGGTCCCGCGCACTCAAATTGTAACTTAAATTACAAAGAATCATTTTGTATTCCTATAGTCTTTCACAATTTATCAGGTTACGACGCGCATTTCATTATCGAAGACATAGCCACGGCGTTCGAAGGGGAAATCGAATTACTTCCAATAACAAAGGAAAAATATATATCATTCTCGAAAATTGTTAGATTGACGCAAGACAATAATTCGAAAAATTATATTAAATTACGCTTTATCGATTCGTATAAATTTCTGAGTGCTAATCTTGACAAATTAGCGTCATTTTTGGATAAAGATAAACTAAAAATTTTACATTCGGAATATCGACAGATACGTTTAATTTATTGACACGGAAGGGCGTCTTTCCATATAAATACATAGACTGCGTGGACAGATTACAAGACACATGTTTACCGCCGCACGACTCATTTTACAGCTCCCTGACCGGCGATACAGTATCCGAGAGTGATTACGCG